AAGGCTTCAAGGTGCCAGCGGAAGCAATCCGCAGCGGTGCAGAGAGCGCCAGGATGGCTCAGTGGTGAGTTGGGGCATGAGGGAGTTCGGCAGCGATAGTTACGAGACCTGGCAGGAAGGGCGAACCTCAGTTGATCTCTCTCTCTCTCTCACACACATCACATCCTCATATTTCTTCATAGATCCGTCTCTTTTCCATTCCATTCCACTTCAACTTGTTCCCCCATCTCTCGCGCATCTCTTGCCTTAACATGTCCATCTCCTCTCTCAGACTCACTTCACCCGATCTTTCCACCGCCCCTTCGAAACGATGTGGACCACCGCACCGCACACTCAGGAAGTCCGCGACCTGCTCTACGACGTGCGCCACGTCGAGGCCTCCTATGGCGCCTTCGCCGCGCTCTGCGGCGCAGAGGGGCGCGTGGTGACCTGGGGAAATCCCCTCTACGGAGGCCGGTGCCGTGCGTGGCAAAACCGATCTCGCCGGCAGGGCCCGTGGAGGGCTGGTCATCGGGAGCACAGGACGTGTCACGACGTGTGGGGCATGCATTCAGTTTTGGTGAAGTGAAGCGGGGGATGAATCAAAGCGTATTAGGATGGAAGAACTTCTTCATGTTAAATATTGGGGGCGGGGAATATCAAGTGTATACACATTGGCTGGTTTAAGTTTTATGGGTTGGGTTGGTGGTTGTTGGGCTAGGTTGGCTGGTCCGGGGTTCATTCGCTGCTTGCAGGCAGCCGGCGTGGCACGCTGAAGACTCTTGGCGAGGTGGACCGAGGTTGAGAGCATCTTTTGCACGCGAAATGGTGACCCAAAGCCATGAAACATCAACGTTTGGATCTTCGTCAACGTTTTTTTTCTCCCCATTTTTTCTCAGCGGCGTGAGTGGATGTGTTCTTTTTGGCACTCCAAGTGGCACTCCAATCGCTCCACGTGCGTCGAAATGGGCATGATCACCTACCTTGCACAACTGGTTGAGTGCAAGAAGGGCAGCGTCAACGCCTTTCCGAGGCAGTCAATGAAATCCGAACTCCACAATCCGCATTCGCAAGCGCAGGCCAGCGCGCTGTTTCTCTGCGCTTTCGCATCGCGTTTTCACACACTCTTGATCGGCTTCAACTTCGAAACGATGCATCTCCAGTCTCATTTGACCGTCACATTGGCCGAACGTGCCATCCCTTTCGAGTCCGGCTGACCGGAACTCCACCGAACCGTTCATGCTTGGTCAACGGCGCGCCTTCTTCGTTTGGCTTGAGGCTCACCGGACTATAGTGACGAGCATCTGGGTTTGAGATCTGAAGGAACTGGCTATGCTCACGCCTTCACCCCCCTTCTTCTCCCTCCCCGCTACCTCCCGTGCTTTTCTTTGCGTGGGGAAAGCACGTGCGAGGAACGTGGTCCGCCTGGCGGCCACCGCGGAGGCCTTTGCGGGTCTGACGGCGGAGGGAGACCTGGCCGGCGGAGGGAGACGTGCGGCATATTTCGCGGCGAGGTCACGCCGTCAAAGATGTTTCCAGCACATCTTTGTAGAAGAAGGGGTTTGTTTTCGCATGCATGTGTGAACAAAACGGTCTTCCTTCCGGAGCCTGAGTGATCTCAAACTTTGGATCACCACCCACCCCGGTGCACGATCAAAAGGGTCTCCTGGCAAGCGACGTCACCTCGGTCCTGAGGACGCGTGGTGACCTGGGGTCATCCGGAGTCTGGCGGCGACAGCCGAAGGGTGCAGGAGAGGGGTTCTGAAGTCTACTTGCCACTAGCGATGGCCTCCAACCTACTTGCGATGGCCTCCACCGAATTAGTTCTTCTTTTAGTGGTCGACGTTCCGTTTCCGCTTCCAAAGATGCATACTTCGTCATGGCGGGCATGGCCGACCTCCGAACGTCGTTGGCCCAAAAAGGATGCTCTATAGAAACCAACCACAACAACGGCACCATTCCAGTCGGACATGGCTATTCGAACGCGCCGTGGTCTCCACGAGGGCCGCTTCGCCACAGGAGCAGCTCCACCACGTCGTGGCGCTTTGCGCGTCCTACGGCGCCTTCGCCGCCGTCTGCCGCCCTCGGGCGACGCGGGCGGCGACGCGGGCGACGCGCCTGGTGACGTGGGGCGATGAGAGCTTTGGAGCTGAGAGCAGTGGGGTGGCCTTGCAGGCGCGGGTTCGGGTGAGAGAGAGAGCGAGGAAGGGGTGGAGTATGGGTGGAGTTGGGTGTTGATCGATTGGAGGAATGAGCTCAATATACAAAGTCTTTTCGGCTGATGGAAGCTTCGTGAAGCTTGAAAGATTTCGATAATATGAGGATTGCAAAAAAGTGGAACAACGAGGAAACAACGGGATTCTTCCCCAAAATAAAACGTTCCTCGAATCGTGCAGCTGGATGCGATTGCAAGGACTTTGCTGGGATCGAAGCCTCACAGATGGCTTTTGCTGCTTGGAATCACAGCTGCAAAGTAGCTCAGGATGTGCACAAGTTCTATTCACACTACTTCAACGCCCCTTTAAGAACCGATCAAGCAGCCGCTTATCAACTTATCGCCACATCCCTCTTGTTTTTGCCTTCAACATCCTGATTTGTGAAGCTATTGATCATTTTCATGGCCTCCTGACAGGTTCAAGACAAAACGTTGTTCTGCACGTTCGTACAACCCTGTTTAGACATTTGTCACACGAACTAGACGATCCCGGAACTCGACACTCCTCACCCATTCGTCGATTTCGAGCCGAATATCCTTCGGATCCGGATCCACGAGGTCTTCGGACGGCCGTGTGGCCACCTGGGGCCGCCTCCAGGGCACCCCACCGCCCCCAAATCTCGCGCGCGTGCGCGCGGTGCGCGCGTCGGCGCGGGCGTTCGCGGCGCTGCTGGACGATGGCCGTGTGGTGTGCTGGGGACATCCAGGTTTTGGGAGCGATTGCAGTGTGGTGCAGGAGTGAATGGGGTGGTGATGCTTGGGCTGGCTTGAAAGTGTGGTTCTTAGGCTGGCTTTTGTGCGAAGAGTCACCCTATAGGGCTCCAAGTACCTGCCCGAGAAGGTATTTGGACCCTCCAAGCCCACCCTAAACACCTTTCAGAAGGTGCTTAGAGCCCTAGGGTTAATATAGTAGGATATAGCATACCGTAGGTAATTAGTTGGTGATGCAGTCTCATTGACATGAGGCGAGGAGAAGAGAGGTGTGTGGCGGTGGGCGGAGAGCAGGCATCACCGGCCTCGTCAAACTCGCACTGGCAGTCACTAGCAAAAGCATTAGTCATCAGTCTTTGGATAGCCAGCACGCACTATGGTTGTGTTTGATAGGAC